TAGTTTCGCAGATTTGGAACCCAGATTTGAGATTAGCGTTCGAAACTACCTACGTCGGTATACATCACATCTTGAATGGCCACTGCGACCTGGTATCCTTCCCTTGTAAGATACGTAGCTCAAATGAATTATTGGAAGTTATAGAGCAGAACAAAGTAAAAATACGGGAGAATGCGAGAGAAACGGCGGACTTTCATAGATAGGACATCACAAAAGTAGTGAGAAAGGGGGATGTACGAAATTGTATGTCTGTAATCATCTGGGTCCTCCCACTTGAGCGTACTATTCGTCGCGTCCTATCGCTTGATTTTGAACGGTACAGCCTTAACAAAGCCGTACCAACACGGCCACTTTTGTATGCATATGTCTACCAATCTGGTTCAGAGCCCTTACTACGTCCTGTCGAGGGGTTCTTCGGCAGGACAATGTTCCACATGCTATCATTCGGGGCACAGGTTCATCCTAGAGAGATCATTCTAGAGAGAAAACTCAGAAACAATCTCCATCGTAAGCTGCGCCTTCAATGTTGCACCAAAAGTATTGGTGGTTTGTGGTGCATTTACATGCGCAATAAGTTGGAACTTCAGTCAGCATCGCAGAGACGCTGAACGTTCTTCACTCAAATGAGGAAATCACTCCTTTCGAGCAAGTATAACTTTAAAAACTTTACTCTTCAGAATAGTGTGCTTATCTGATGGAGGTCTTGTTGAGACTTAGGTGGGTCGGTCGATCACGCGACACCTCGGCGGGGTGCCACACCTCCAAACAATTCTACACGCTTCCGTAACTCACAGCTGTTAAGTTTTGTCGCTGTGTGAGTCCTAATAACTGAAAAATAGTGCTCTCCAATAGAGATATACGCGAAATCGTTTCTAATGAATTGAAAAACCTCTATGGTCTGAAAGATAAACAAAAGGGAAAGCTGATTCACTTCGGGTCTTGATATCTGGCCAAGTTTTTTGACTTTTACCTCCTTCCTCCTCGCCATTATTTCATGAAACTCCAGATGTTGTTACAATGTTTTTCTATGGGACAGCCGTATTCAACTTTCCGTACAGGAAGACTCAGGAAGTAATCTCTTTGGTTGGCGCCTATTCCAATCCCAAGGTGTTGTTCCAAGTAGAGGTAACTTTCAACACTTCTAGTTTTTACAAATTAATTTTCCATTGTACAATCTATAGTTAGTTCCATATGAAGACTCCCTCGAGCTTTTCCAAAATGATTTTCACGAGCAAGCAAATTCATAAGCTGATCAAAAACGAAAGCAAAAGAATTTGTCGAAGAATAGTCATACAACTTTTCCATCTCGACTGCTCCCTTGAAGGTGTAAGAGACTAGCTTGGAATTGGTGTTGAAGACTAGTCCTCTTTGAACAATATCGGATTACTCAGGTCCTTCTATACCATCTTATCTGTTTCTGTATCTTTCAATGATATATTTCTCCCCTTATTTCATTCTAATAACTCACCATCCTTCTTAGCTGGGCATTATTAGGTTCCGACAAATAAAGGCGTAACCTATGGTGTTTGGAATCTGATAGATGGTCAGAAGCCATCGAGGTGTATATGCCGGAACGATAATTGGGCATGCCAGGAAGAGATCATAAAGGATATGTATAGAGAGCTGATTCGAGTTCAAAACGATTTCAATTGATCAGAAACATTCTTGAAATTGGAGCAACGTTTATAACCTCTGATGATGTAAACAATCATTTTTCAACCCATTTCAAAAATTCTAGACGTACGCTGCTGCTCTTCGACTAGCGATTTCGTCGGCCGGTCTTTGTGTGTGCGGGTTATTCTGCGCATCGTCGTTCAGGAAACGAAATGGCAATAGCTATATGGTAAGTGAATGCTTCGTTCTACGCAACTGTTAATCTTTGAAGATATGGTCTTAAATGGGAAGGGACATAAAAAAGAATGGGCCCAGGACCCGTAAACAGCAGCTTGCAGGAGACACTGCATTTCGATAAAAATAATGGAATACATTGCCAAAGAAGGCATGCGCCGAGAGCCCAGCGGAGTGGTGGAGATAAGGCGAAATATAGAGGCAAAGGGCCCTATCGTGTAGTATTGAAAGATCCGAGTAGTATAAGTCAGCGTTTCTGAACTCACAGAGAACAGCGCCAGAAACATGCTTACCACAGGAGAACGAGAGCTTCGAGCGATCTCATAGGCTGTATGACTAATAAATTTCCTTAGCCGTTGCGCTATGTATGTCATCCTTATGATATTCTCCGTTTTAGATCACATGGATAGCGTTCTGGTGCAATTATATGTCATGTTTCATGTCTGTGTTTGCCGTTGTTGTTGTGCTGTCACTATTGCGTGAGGCCAGTCCCGGTTCCTTAATCAGCTTCTCAGTCAATAAACAAGGTGCCTTTCGGAAACGATTGTTTTCAAAAACACCGATGATGATCTCTTTCAAAAACACTTATTTCCTGACCACTCTTACCCATTCCCATCCAAGTAATCTCCAAGTAATATTGTGAAAATCTAATGCGTAGCGTGAATTCCTAGAGGCGAACCTGACAGAGCTGTTGTAAATGAATTGGTTTAACCAGGGAAGGATCCCAAGTCGACGTGGCCATTTGAAATGAGACCCACACTGCTGGTTGTGTTTTTGGATGCTGAGTTCAAATTTGCTTTCGAAATTTGCCGAGCGTTTCTCTGAACGGAGTTATGAGGGTGGTTTCAGGGAGCTTAACATTAGAAAACTTAAATTACGTAGATGCGCCTAGAGGTAAGCGTGACGCTTCATGTGCGAGAGACTAGGGTTCGGACTTCCTGAGGGACGGAGTTTTTGCATTACATAGAATTTTTACTTCAAGGACTAGAAAATACTCTCATGTTGATTTTATCATGTTGTATGAACTTTTGATTTTGAAAACACAAAACTCGAACCCTAGCATCTCGCACATGGAGCGTCACGCTTACCACTACAGCAAGTCGCCGTTGAGGAACTAGGCGCATCTACGTAGTTTAAGTTTTCTTATGTTAAGCTCCTTGAAACCACCCTCATAACTCCGTTCAGAGAAACGCTCGGCAATTTCGGAAAGCAG